TGATACGCGGGTCAAACTTGCCATTGTGGTATGCCTGGCCAGGCACGGCGCCTCCCCAGTCGGAGCAGCAAACAACGAAACCCTCGTGGAAAGTGGACTCGGCACAGCCGCAGGAGTGCACCTGGCCACCGATGCCCTCAACGGCAGCGCGCGCATACTCGCAGGAGCTGCTGGAACAGGCCGAGCGGCAACGCGGCCTTTGCCTTCTGTCTTGGCCGCCAACTTGGCCTTTGCATACCACGCACCTTGTCAACTTCGTCTGGCGCTATCGTCTTGGGGCTGGGCTTGGGCACCTCGGCCTGTGCCTGCGGCGCGACGCCAATTCTCGGCACCTCAGCCTCTTCCGCGCGCTTCGGAGCGGACGCGCCAGGGCCGCCCGCTGCAGGGCCTCCTGAGCTCGACGAAGCACCACTTTGCACTGGCATTTGCTCTCCATCGTCGTCACGGCGTCGACGCTTGGCTTGCACCCTGTCGTTGAAGCGCGCGCGCTCCCCTCAACCATCTCATTACCTTTCTCCTGGAGACCAGAGACAGCTTAGCGCGCTGCTTTCCGGACGAGCGCGAGCAGCTTCGACCTGCGACGGCCCAGTTCTTCACGGTTCTGATCGGTGACTTCGACGCCCTCCAGCTCGCTGAGGCCGAAGAGCGCGCCGTCATGAGACTCAATGCCTTTTACTGCCAACATTTTCTCCAAGCTGATGCGCGGCACCGTCGGCTTTGGCGGCTCCGCAGGCACCACCTTAGCACCAAGCCCACGCACAGTCCCCTCGCCAATGTTCTCACAGTCCTCTTACGCGCTGAAGGCCACAGCCGCTGCGGCACGCGCCTCACGCGCCTGCTCCTCCAACGACTCTGACTTCACCACAGCTCTGTCCATGTGCCACTTGGCCTACTCTATGGCGTGCTTGGCATAACCCACTCAAGGATGGGGCGCTGGAGCTATGGCCTTCTCCAGCTCCTGAATCGGCAACTGGAAGCGGGCATCACTGGCTTGGTTACCACATTCCAGCATGGACTTGTGGAGGGATGGCAGGGATGGCAGCTTGTCTACTGTGCACGGGCATGTCTTTTGAGCGCCTGCAGACAATGAGAATCACCCCGACTGTTGTAGCTGCAGACCCACGGAGAGATCATCACTCCAGCAGGAGGGACAGCATCAGCAAGGCTCGGGAGCGGCCAAGAGGGGGGTGTCCAAGAGGGGGGGGTGCAAATCATGACTGGCGACACGTGCGCGGCCCAGCGGGGGGGCCAGGAACGTAATGAAATGAGAAGAGGCGCCATGGAATCTGGGGAAATATCATGGCCCCCGCCATGGTGTCCAAAAGGGGGGGGGGCAAATCATGACTGGCGGCACGTGCGCGGCCCAGCGGGGGGGCCAGGAACGCAATGAAATGAGAAGAGGCGCCATGAAATCTGGGGAGATATCATGGCCCCCGCCATGATATCCACCCCCCCCAATCATCACCCCCCTCTTCTCCGCCCCCGAAAGGCGGAGACCGCCTGGGAAAGCACGAGGCCCTGGGTCGTGCGTTGCTTGTGGCGGTGGCGCGCCCACGCAGCAAACGCAGACAGGCGCGCGGGAAGGGCGCGCCGCCGCCACCAAACAGAGCAGAACGCGCAAGCCCGTGCTGAATATCATCCGGAATACGACAAGCGCTCGCGAGCGCACCCGAACACCGAAATGGAGCTCGCGCCGCCAGGTTGTAGCGGCGAACGAAGAAATTTCGCAAGAGACAGCGTTCCCGGGAGGCTACGCACGCAGCCGGACAGCAATTGCTCGTGTCTGATATACCTGCAGAAGCACATGTGTACACATGCATACATGCATATATACATACACACGTACATACGTACATACATACATGCATGCATGCATGCATGCATACATGGATACATAAACACACTTCTGCCGATGTGCACATTTAGGTGTGTGTGTGTACTAGAATGATCGCGCGCTTCGCGCGCTCTTGGATTCTAGCTGGTCGAGTGCAGGCCGCATTGAGACAACAAGGCAGTCATGAATAATGAAGTAAACATTATATGTTTCCTCCTGCCTCTTCCTCATTCCTCCTCCTCCGCTTTCATGCACCGGTCGACCGGTGATCTGTCGCCAAGTTTCTTGGGGACCTCTTGACCCCTTCTGGGGGTCTCCTGGGGCAAAGATCTCGAGTTTTCGGTTCACGTTCCCGATAATGGGCTTCGGCCCATCCCACCACCGTGCCTGGGTTGTGGGTTTGAGACCTCTGGGAAGTTCGTTTGGAATCCGTGGGAGGCTTCCCGGGGGCCTCTTGAAGGCAGTTTTGGAGGCCTCTTGGGGGCCGTTTGGGGTCTTCGTGAGGCGTCTTTTTGGACCCCTTTGGGGCCTCGTGGGGCCTCTTGGGGGCCAGGGGGCCTCTTGAGCTCTGTTGGGGGCCTCTTGGAGCCTCCTGGAGGCCTCTTGGGGCGGAAAGCTCGAATTGTCGGTTCGTGTTCCCCCTCTTGGACCCCTGTCGGGGCCGTCTTGGGGCCCTCTTGGGTGATCTTGGGCGCCTCTTGGGCCGTCTTGGGGCACTCTTGGGCAGTCTTGGGACTCTTGCGCCGTCGTGGCGCCCTCTTCGGGTGCCTCTTGGGCCGTCTTGAGCTGGTTTCTGGGGCCTGTCTTGGACCGTCGGAAACACGAAACAGCGAGAACACGAAAAACTTTAAAAACCATCGGGGGGAACAAAAAAAACTACCTTTTCGCCTTTTGAATGCCTCGTGGGAGTCCTTTTGAAAGCAGATTGGCCGTCTTGAAGCCTTATCAGGCTGTCTTGAAGCCATGTTGGACCAATTTTGAAACGCTCTTGTGCGGTCTTGGGCTCCCTTGGAACGCTCTTGGGCCATCTTGGTGCCCTCTTGGACGTCTCTCGGTCCGCTTTGACGTTTTTTGGCGCCCCCCGCCGGGCCCGAAACGGCCAGAAGACAAATCAGTGCACAAGTGGAGTTTTCTCCAGGTCCTCGTCCGTCCTCTGTTCTCTGTTCTCTGTACTCAGGACTCTGAGATTACAATACTCTCGGGTATGGACAGAACCCCCTTCAGCAAAACGTGGCGTAGTAGAAACGACCTCGGGCCCAAACCTGGCGGGCGCAAGCTTGGAAAATGACGGCCGCAGCGCCTTCTCGAGAACCGAAAACGGATAATTCACTAATCGACGTGTCAGGGTGGGGGTTCTGTCCATCCCCGATATTCTAAGGACTGGGGTTATAGATTCTCGAATTTCCTGGGCGTTCCCGCGCGGTTTTGGGCTGCCCCACATGACCTTTCCAGAAGCCAGAGGGCCCAAAGACGGGCCAATAGGGCCTTAGAAAGCGCCAAAGAAGCCCAAGAGACCTCCAAGACACCCCAAGATCGCTCCAACACGCCCAAGATGGCCCCAAGACGGCCAAAGAGGCCCCAAAGAAGCCGTCAGAGCGCCCCACGAGGACCCCCAAGAGGCCCCCGGGAGGCAAAAATCATTGATTATCTATGTGTTTCTGTGTGTTTCGCGTTTTCTTCGGGCTTCCGACGCTCCAAGATGACCTCTGAGGCCCACAACACAACCCCAAGACGGCCCAAGCCCCCAACAGAGCCCCAAGACGGTCCAAGAGAACCCCAAAACGGCCCAAGAGGCGCCCAAGATCGCCCAAGAGGGCCCCAAAACGGGGCCTGAGAGGGGGAGCACGAACCGACAATTTCTTCAGCCCCAAGAGGCCCCAAGAGGCCCCAGAGAGCCCAAGAGGCTCCCTAGAGGCCCCACGAGGCCCCCAAGAGGCCCAACAAGAGGCCCCAAGAGGCACCCAGGAGGCCTGCCTCAAAACTGCCTCGAAGAGGCCCCTGAAAAGCCTCCCACGACATCCAAACGAACATCCAAGAGGCCTCCAACCCACAACCCAAGCACAGTGGCGGGATGGGCCGAAGCCCACTACATATGTGTATAGACATATGGATTCCCCAATCAGTGCTTGCACTGAAAGGGTGTTGGCGGAAGCTGAAAGATTCGGTGAAAATTTCCCGCCGATGTTGGTAGCAAAGGTTCCAGGGTTCCCGGTTCCAGGTTCCCGAGTTCCTGGTTGAAGGTTCCAGGCCGATTTCGGTGGGTTCCTGGGTTCCCGGGTTCCCAGTCGATCTCCTTTTCGATCTCTTCATCGCTCCCACGATTTATGATCGATCTCATGATCGATCTCATCTCACTCAGTCGATGACACCGTCGATCTCAACAAACCATCCACTGATTGGGGTTCTTCTCTGATAGGTGTCCGCGGGGAACCTTTCCGGGCGCTCCAGATACCCGCGGGGAACCTCTCCAGGCGCCCCGGCAGGCACCTGCGGCGAGCCTTCCTGGGCGCTCCTCCGAGAGCCCTGGCGAGTACCTGCGGGCAGCCTTCCTGGGCGCTCCGAGCGCCCTGGCAAGCACCTGCTGGGAATTGTTCCAGGTGCACCGGCAGGTGCCCGTGCTCTGGAAGCGCCCCCGCGGGTACCTGCGAGGAACCTCTCCAGGCGCCCAGGGCGCTCCTTCACGTACCTGCGGGAGCCTTTCAGGGGCGCGCGGGCAGGTGCCTGCGGGGAAGCGTTGCACATGCTTGTAACGAACTTGCTGGCGTTTCACGGATTCCCATGGCTAACGTACCGGAGATAATGTTCAGGAACGACTCCTGACTGTCAGGGCGCCACAGTTACGTTGATTCGCGGCGCTGAAGTCCTACGAGCGGCGTTCTGGCACGATTCGGGATCGTCATGACGCGACAGTGAAGATGATTCCGAGAGCGGTGTTTTGGCAAGCTTCAGGACTTTCCAACAGTTGTCTCCCAACGGGCCCCTTCCCTAAGTGAACCCTTGCAGTGGCCTGTGAAGAGGGAGCTTGGAGGGAGGGCTTAATTCCAACATCGTTAGTGAGTCTTGGGTTTGCACTGATCCTCCTCCTCCTTTTCCTCATCCTCCTCCTCCTCCTCCTCCTCCTCCTCCACCTCCTCCTCCTCCTCCTCCCTCCGACCGGGCCGCCAGCCTCCTCCGCGGAGAGCCGCTCGAAGCTCTCGACCCTGGACCAGAAGGGCAGCGCGCTGAGGGCGGCCTGGGGCTTCCGGGCGCGCGCGCGCGCCCGCCGGCTCGCGCGGCGAGGACGCCCTCTTCGCACGCCCTCTGCACCAGACGGAATCGAGGATCGGGGATCGGGGGAGGATCGGAGGTAAAATCGGGGAGGATCGAGGAGGGGGGATACGGGGAGGATCGAGGAGGGCCGAGGAGGGATCGAGGAGGATCTAAGAGGGATCGGGGAGGATCGGAGAGGAGGGTGGAGGGGGATCGAGGAAAATCGAGGGGGGTGATCGAGGAGGATCAGGGAGCGATCCTCCACCTCCTCCTCCCCCTCCTCCTACTGCTCGTCCTCCTCCTCCTCCTCCTCCTCCTCCTCCTCCTCCTCCTCCTCCTCTTCCTCCTCTTTTCCTCCTCCTCCTCCTCCTCCTCCTCCTCCTCCTCCTCCTCCTCCTCCTCCTCGGTCCTACTCAGCCGTTTCGGGGCGGGCCGATGGCGAATGGTGCTGCTGGAGGCGCACGCGGCGCTAGCCAGGGTGGCGACCCCTGGACGTGCAACGCGTGTGCAGCTGGCTACAGCAACATGGCGTGGCGCACGGTGTGCAGGCTCTGCCAGGCGGCGCGGCCGCCGAGAGGTGCTGGCACGATCGGCGCCGCCATCGACAAGGCCAAGAAGGTCAAGGCCAAGGGGAAGGCGAAGGCCGTGGCGAAGCGGGTGCGGTTCGCCTCGGATGGGCCTGGCCCGTCCGCCGCCGCGGCCACGCCGGCGCCGTGGGCGCAGGGTGCGGCCAAGCAGGCGGCCGTGGAGAAGCCCGGCAGCGGCGGCGGCAAGGACGAGGAGGTCCGCCTGGCCCTCCTCCGCCACTTCGGCCCCAGGGAGGGCTGGTCGGCGGCCCTGGTCCAGGACTTCGGGGCCCTGGTGCCCGAGGCCGTCGTGCCGCCGCCTGCGAAGCCCTTGGCCGAGCTGTCTCTCCAGGCCCTCCTGGCCAGGGAGGCGAAGGTCAAGGGCCAGGTCGGCCGTGCCGAAGCCATGCTGGCGGCGGCCAAGGAGGAGCAGGAGGCCGCCGCGGCGCGCGTGGCGGAGCAGGAGGGCGTCCTCCAGAAGCGCCGTGACCAGCTGGAGGAGGTGGCCGAGGCGGTGCGCGCCAGGAAGCGCGCCGACCTGGCGCAGCACACAGGCCCGTCGCCCATGGAGGTGGGCGAGCCCGAGGAGACGGGCGACCTGGGCAAGGCGCTGCTCAAGGGCCTCGAGGGCCTCGAGGCGGAGCGGGAGCGGGTGCTGCAGCTCGGGGAGGACGGCGACGCCCTGCTCGCGATGGCCGCGGAGGCCCGCTGCCTCGTGGAGAAGCTCGCTGCCGCCGACGCCCGCGCCCGCGAGGCAGCGGCGGCCGAGCGAGCCCGTGCGGCTGCTGCTGCCGCAGAGCGGGCCGCCGCCGCGCAGGAGGCCGCCCCCGCGGCCGCTGGCGAGGTGGATGGCGCTGCTGGTCCTCCTGGAGACCGCAAGCGCGTCGGTGACCTTGGCCTGGGCCCAGAGCTCGACGGGCTCGATGCCTTGTTCGACGAGGTCGGCATGGAGGACGAGCAGCAGCGGGAGGCCTGGCGCGCAGCGCTGGCCAAGCGCCAGCGAGTGGCAGGCCCAGCCTCTAGGTAGCCGCCCGCAGGCGATGGACGTGGTGGAGCTGGTGTCGGCCAACACCACCGCGTGGGGCTCCGCGCAATCGCTGGTCGAGTGGCTGCAGGACGGCGTGGGGCGGCTGCCCGAGGTGCTCTGCCTCCAGGAGCACCGCCTCAAGGGCAAGCAGGCGGTGGCCCGTGCTGCGGGCTGGACGCAGGCGCGTGGCTTCAGCTGGCACGGCCAGGCTGCGATGGCGACGGGCCCTGGGCCGCTGGAGAGCTCAGGAGGCGTGGCTGCGGCCACGCTGCGGCCGTCTGCGGCCGTCGTGACGCCAGGGCCCCCAGCCCATCGGTTCCAGCTGTGCGAGGTGAACCTGGGATTCAGGGAGCCGCGCTGTATCATCTCATCCTACTTCGTCACGAAGATAGGCAGGGCGAAGGAACATCGGGCTCATGGCGGCGCTGCACGAGTACGTCGGGCAGCTGGAGTCGCCGTGGCTGGTGATGGGCGACTGGAACATGGAGCCCGAGGACGTCCGTGAGTGGGCACGCAGCGCGGGCGCTGCCCTTGTCGTCCCAGGGAAGCCGACCTGCGGCTCGAAGGTCTTCGACTTCGCTGTCGTCAGCAAGGTCCCCACGGGCTTCGTGGAGACGGTGTAGGTGCTGCTACAGGCGCCGACGAAGGACCACGTGCCGCTGAAGGTGGTGCTCCGTGGCGTGGGGCCAGCGGCGAGGGTGAAGCGGCCGCTGCCCCCTGCCGCCTTCCCGCTGCCGCTTCCGCCGCCAGCGAGGCCAGCGCCACGAGAGCGTGGGTTCTCGGCCTGGAGCCCAGGAGGTGAGCAGCCGCTCAAGGTCGGCTGCCAGGAGTGGTTTGAAGCGGTGGAGGCCTACCTGATCGACCTCCACGAGATCGTGCCGCCCAGCCGTTGGAAAGGGCGGGCTGACGGGCTGCGCACGCAAAAGGTCAAGATGGAGGTGGCCTGGAAGCAGGACCTCAAGGAGTGTTGGCGCGGCGTGCAGGCGCTGGATGTCGTTTGCGGCGGCGTGCCCCCGCTGGCGCGCGCTGCAGGAGGCGGCGCCAGGAGGTCGCTGCGCGGCGCCGCGGCGCAAGCAGCGTCAGGTGCTGGAGGCGTTCGAGCTCGACTGGCCTGGGGACGGCCCGCTCGCAGGGCTGTCGGTCGCCCGCGTCGTCGGCCTGCTCAGCACCCCATCGCGCAAGCTGACGGTGCAGTTCGTCCAGGAGGAGGCGAGGCGGCGCTGGATGCAGGACAAGCAGCGGAGGGCTGCAGAGCCGCGCGCATGGGCCCAGGCCGCTGCCACCGAGAAGGGCGGCTCGGCGGCCCACCGCTTCATCAAGCAGGTCACGGCGCTGCCCACGGTGGCGCACGCGGGCGCAGACGGCGACGATGGCCCGCGCATGCCTGTAGCAGGCGAGGCCGCGGTGGCTGCACTGCTGAAGGCGTGGCAGCCCCTCAGGATCAAGCCGTCGCGCGCTGGCGAGGCGGCGCCTGAGGACTGGGACATCCAGGAGTCGGTGCTGCCGCCGCTGGAGCTCGAGGACCTGGAGCGGGCCCTGGGCACCTACCGCGAGGGGTGCGGCCTCGGCTGGGATAGGCTCCACCCGAAGCAGCTGCTGCGCCTCCCGCGGTCCTACAGGGGGCGCTGCCTGGAGCTCCTCCAGGCCTGGGAGCGGAGGCCCACGCGGGAGGCGCTGTGGCAGCTGGTTGTGGTGTTCATCCCCAAGGCGACTGGAGGCCAGCGGCCGATCGGCCTCACGGCCATCTGGCTGAAGGTGCGGAGCAGGATGCGACAGCCGCTGGTGGCCCGCTGGGAGGCCTCGCTGCAAAACCCCGCCTTCTGGGGCACGTCGGAGTGCCCGTGCGAGCGCGCAGGAGCAGTGCACAACCTCCTGGCGGCCTTCGCTCGCAGCAGGGGGCTCTCGGCGGCAACTGGAGTCACCGACCTGGCGAAGTTCTACGAGCATGTCAGTCACGAGGGGCCCCGCGTGCAGGCGGTCGCCACGGGCTTCCCCCTCGCGCTGCTGCGGTGCTACTGCGTGTCGCACTGCACGCAGCGGCGCGCGTCGTGGTGCGGCTCAGTCCCCGAGCCGTTCGAGGCGAACGGCACAATTGTGGCGGGATGCAGTGGGGCGGCCGGACTGGCCAAGCTGCTGGTGCATACCCTCTTCGTGAAGATCATGCGTGAGAACCCTGTGGTTCGCCTGCAGAACGTCGTGGACGACGTGCTGCTGCAGGCGGTCGGTGGCGAGGCTCAGGTGGTGCAGCAGCTACCCAGGGCCATGGCTGCCCTCATCGAGGGCCTGGTCGCCAAGGGGCTGGTCATCCCGGAGGCGAAGACGGGCTACCTGGTGAACAGCGAGGACCTGGGCGACGCGCTGGATGGCTGCTGGGCGCACGGGCCGCTGGCCCGCTGGGCAGGTGCCCGCTGCCTGGGAGGTGACGCTACCGACGGGCGCCGGAGGCGCGCGGGCGAGCAGGACGCGCGACTTGGCCGCGCGGCGGCGGTCAGTGCGCGGGCGCGCCTGCTGCGCGGCGCTGGTGCGCGGGCGGGCCACACCCAGAGGGGGAACCCCACTGCCACCGCTGTCTGGTGCTCCGCCGCGACGGGCCTCGCCTGCGGGAAGCTGCACGGCCTGCGGGTCGCCGCCATGCGCGCGGAGGGCAAGCTGCCCATGGGCGCCAGCGTTGGCCTGCGGCTGCGGGCGCAGCAAGGCGCCGCCTACCGTGACCCATTCGTGGTGCACGCGGTGGAGGTGGCACGCTCCTGGGGCATGACGCTGGAGACGGGCCTGCCCAGTGCCGCGGTGGTGCAGGAGTGCTGGCGCGGGGCGCAAGGCCTGCTGGAGCTGCGCCGCCCCTGGGGGCAGTGCCGCGACCCTGCACAGGCGCGCGCGCTGGCGCTGAGGCGGGTCGGCTGCGAGATGGTGGCCTTCAATGCTGTCATCGATTGGCAGGCGCGGGTCTTCTCGCTGGAGTTCTACTCGCCAGGCATGCTGGTGCAGGTGGTGCGCACGTCGGCGCTGCTGGCCTCGGATGTGCTCGCGCTGCAGCGGCTGCGCGGGCCTGGCGCCTGGGCGCGGCCTGTGAACTGGAAGGGGCTGGAGCGCCTCCTCCGCGTGAGCCGCCGCCTCGAGGAGCAGGCCTCCGCTGAGGCCGGCCCTGGCTCTGGCCGCCGGGGGCCCGCGCGGCCGCCGCCGCTCTGGCAGGCCCGTCACAGGCGCGCGCTCGCGGCGGTCCTCGGCGGCCCCCACTGGCCGCAGGAGCGGCTCTGGAAGGAGGGCAATGCGCTCGACGGCCGCTGCCGCCTGCGCGGAGGCAGAGGCACGCTGCGGCACAGGGCCTTCGAGTGCGACGCCCGGCAGCCGCTGCGGAGGGACGCGCGCTCGCCCGAGCTGCTGGAAGGGGCA